AGGAGGATTCCGAGCACCAGACTCCTTGAGAAGCAGGGACGCTGGGCTCGCTGGATGGGGCCGAGACCCCTGGGGGATGGGGCCGAGACCCCTGGGGGATGCGGCACTCCAGGCCCCTGGCTGCTTCACTGGACGTGACCTGTTTCCAGCCCAGGGGCAGCTCACGATTCCCAGGACAGCAGGACCTGCCGCATGTGTGCCTGTGACATGCCGGCTCCTGGGCCCCAGGGCAGCCCCGCTGGGCAGGGAGGTGCAGGGCTTTCCTGGGGTGGCTGTAACAAAGCCCCACAGCCGCTGTCCCCCGGTCCTGGAGGCTGACGCCCGAGGTCCAGGCGCAGGCAGGGCAGGTTCCCCGAGGCCTCTCTCCTCGTGTGGGGACGGCCCTGCTCTCCCTGGGTCCTCCCGGGGTTGCCCCTCCGTGCGGGTCTGTGTCCTGATCCCCTCTTCCTGTATGGACCCCGGTCACACCGGATCAGGGCCACCCCATGACCCTGTTTCACCTTGATCACCTCTTTCGAGGCTGCTCTCTAAGTGCAGCCACACTGTAGGTCCCAGGGGTCAGAGCTTTGCCATAACGGTTTCAACCCAAACACAGAGCCCCTGTGTGATCACGAGAGCACACTGCACCACTTACGCCGCACACGACATCCCCCGACAGCCGGGCCCTGAGACCTCAGTGTCCCTGCCCCTCCTAGTCACCGGCAGGTCACCCGGTGGGCACTGAGCAGCCCCTGAGACACCTCAGTCTGTCTTCCCTAGGACGGCCCCCCAGCCCTGGCCCAGCCCCCGTCACACCCTGCTGCAAGGTACAGCCCCAGTGTGGGGGGCTGCGAGTGCTGAGGGGTCCCTCTGTCCCTGTGGCACCTTGGCACCCCCACAGGTGCAGGCGAAGCCCATGGGAGCCACTGACCCGAGGCCAGGTCCAAGCAAATGTTCTTTCCCAGCTGAGCAAGGCTGCCGGAAGGTGCCACCCGCCCATCCAGCCTGCCCCGGAGGAGGGGATGCACACTCAGAGAGCTAGGGAACGTGGCAAGGTTGCCCAGCCATGGGCTGTGCTCAGACATGAAGCCCCATCCCCCGTCCATGCTCCCTGCACCACCCGGCCAGCCCGCATCCCGCGCCTGGTGGCCTCCTGGCCCGAGACCCTGGCGTGTGCTCAGAGCTCCTGTGGACCTAGGCTCCAAATCCTCCTACCCCTGGACCATCCCTCTCCTCCCACCACCTTCCTTGTGGCCTCGAGTTCTCCCCCCACATCCGGGGCCGGTGGCAACCCCGACATACGGGATGCCTGTGACGCCCCAACTAAGCCAGGCCATGACCAGAGGACCAGGCCCCAGAGAAGGTGACACAGGGAAAGGCACCAAAAGGAATTCCCAGTTTCACCAGGAACCAGGGCTGAAGGACAGGCAGAGGAGGCCCAAAGGGACGGTGGGAATAGGCCAGACAGCCGTCCTCCTCTGTACCCCACCTGCCATGCAGCCCATGAAACCACCAGGCGGACTCCCAGCACATCAATGATTAACACTCGCCAAAGCCACCTTGGGGACCCAGGAACGGCAGGGCGGCAGAAGGACGGAGCCAGGAGCACTCAGCTGAGTTTGAGAACCAGGGCCCTCCCCACTCTCCCGCGCCCGCCCTCCAGCCTCTCAGCGGCACCTGATCTCCAAGCATCGGACGGCCAGAGCTGGTGCTGCCCCTGGGGGGCGCTCTGCACCTGCCCCGGAGGGAGCGCCCTGAGCAGGAGAGCCGAGTGCCCAGGGCCAAGCAGCCACCGCAGTGGGAGGCCGGGTCCAGGCTGCAGGGGTGGCAGGCGGGATGAGGAGCAGCTGGGACAAGACAAGTCTGCCTGTGCCATCCTGCAACCTGCAGCTCACAAGAGCCGGGGTGGGGGGAGGAGAGGCAGGGGAGAAGGTGGGTGAAGAGGGAAGAGAGGGAGGAAGAGCAGGAAGGGGCAGCTGGGGTTCCTCATGGCTCCCAAAACTGGAAGCCTCTCGCCAGTCAGGGGAAGGGCAGGGACCCCGGGGGTCTGCAGAGGAAGGCTGGGGTCCAGCCCCGGGGCCAGGGCTTGGAGGTTGCTATGGGACCCCTGCTCCCTCCTCGGTCTGGGCATCTCCCCTACCCGGACGGCTCCACTAAGGCTCATGAGCAGGGAGACCGGGACACCCACGCCCTCAGCTAGACTGGGAGCCGCCACACGGTGGGGACACAAAGGGTCCTGGAAGGCTGGGGAGCAGGAAGCCTGAGCCGACAGGGGCGGCAGAGTCCTGCCCCCTGACCCCAGCAGCGGGGGCCGGCCAGGCGCACACAGGAAAGCCTGCTCTCCTGGCGGCTGGCCGGAGCAGGGGTCCCCTGAAGAGGAGGGGGACAGGATATCCTGGCTCGCTTCTCCAGCTGCGCCTGGGAGAGCATGCCCAGCCTTGCAGGGCCCAGCGGGACAGTGGCTCCCACATCCACCCACCTGCCCGGCCCTTCAAGGCCAGGGAAGGGAGGCTGGCTGGCCGCAGTGAGCATCCTGCCCTGTTCACGGAGTGACTCTGCAAGGACACGGCCTTCCCTCGAACTATCTCAGACGCTGCTCAGAGCCACACGACGGCCAGAGCGGCCGCCGTCTTCCCCGCTCGTGGGGCTGCAGCTGGGCCCTGGCCACTCAGCCACAGGTCACCGCTGCAATCCCAGCTCGAAGGCCAGGTCCCCTCAAAAGACTGGCCAATTCTGAGAGTGTCCGGCGCTGGCTGAGCTCCTAGAGACGTTAGGAGGGGAAGGAGGCACCTTCCCAGGCTCCAGCTAAGCCACACGCCCTGCCTGGCCAGGGTCCCTTCCAGCCCCGGCCCGAGTCAGGAGAGCTGCCGCGGCTGTCCACACCCCACGGCCGCGGCATACCTCCCACGGGGCAGGGCCCAGAGCAGGAAATGACTGACCCAAGGTCACACGGCCACTCCAGGAGCATCCCTTCCTGGCTTGCCCCCGCGGGGAAGACATTCGACTGCGATCCCCAGAAGCCACCCCTGCCTGCCTGCTCCCGGAGAGGCCGGGCAAAAGGCAACTCTGCTGAGCAAACTTCCGAGAGCTAAACAATCAGAATCAGGAAGAAAACACAAGTGTAAGCAGAGACTTCCTCTGGGGTGCGGCGAGCCCTCTTCCTCCACACGGCACCACACAGCCAGGGAGCCCGGGCGACGCGCACCCACGGGCCTGCAACCCCAGGACGCGGACCAGTGGGGCTTAGGGCAGCCCCTAGCCCTGGCAGCCATCCAGGGGTGGGGAGGCACTGCGACACTGCCTAGTGGCCCTCCGGGCATGCCTCCCTGCCTTCACCCAGAGCTGGCCGCCGGGCAGGGTCTTTCCCGGACCCGGCTGTGGAGTCCATCCCACCCCTGGGCTTCTCAGGCGAGGGCCAGGAGGCAAGCAGCCTGTGTGAACCGTGGCTCCCGCGAGCCTGACATTGACCGGATGTTGGCACAGCCAGTGTCTGACCCGTGGGATCCCTCGGGGTCTGTGCACGCAAACCCTCCCCTATGCCCCGAGACAAGCCACTGCTGCAGCCACAGGCAGGGCCGTGCTCTCCCCCAGGTATCAGCCACGGTCATGACGCGCCCTCTGACACTGCGGCAGGTGGGGGCTGGGGTGGGGAAGAGGCTTCAAAACCGGGGCCCATCCATGACTCTGGGGACACAGTCCCCGAGACATGCCCTCCTGCTGTGGAAGGCTGTCCCTCCGCACAGAGGGGAGCACCCCTGATACCACCTACGCTCACAGAGGAGCCAAAGTGTGAGGCTGAGGCCGCCCCACCCCACCCTGCCTCAGCTGCCCAAGACGATGCTCCAAGCCAGCCGGGGCCTGGCTCCCACTGCACCCCTGGGGCCCTGCTGGCAGCTGCCAGCAAGAGAAAAAAGGGTCCTGAACCCCTCCCCCCCAACCAGGTCTCTCCCAGCCACTGGCCAGCCAAGGCAGCAGGAATGAGTACCTGTCACCACCAATAGGAAGCCAGAGGGAGACCCCCCATGCAGCCCCCAGCAGAGCCCCCCAGTCTTCATGATCCGTGTGGGGGTGGCCCCGTGAGGGCTCCCAGGCCAGGGGCTGGCACCATACCAAGAGGCTGCGGGCTGGGCAGCCAGGAAGTGGAACCACGGAACGGCAGGGGAGGGCTCCAGGCAGGCAGCAAGGAGGGTGGCCCCGAGGAGGTAACTTCCTTGTACCCCCCGCCCCTGAGGAATGGAGTGGCCTGCCCTGCCCCACGCAGGCACGCCGCAAGGGCACTAGAACCACCTGGGTAACAGGGCCAAGTGCTGGCCATGAGGTCCTGTTCTCCCCTAGTACACAGCTTCCTCCCATTGAGGGTTAGAAACGTGGGCGCAATCCTGCCCCTCCCCGGAGCCCCCTCCAGCCTCCTCTGCTTCCGGAGCCTGGTCCTCTGAAGGGGGGGTGGGGCATTTCCCGCAGCCACACGGACCCCTCAGGGGACACCACTCGGCCTGCCACCCTCTGGGGCAGCCCTGCACCCGCGGGCCCGGGAGACTCGCCGCACGTGGCCTGCCTTGAGCTGGGACATGTTGCTGCCACCAGCAGGAGCTTGGGGCCCTCCCCTCCTGGGGGCTCCTGAGTCCTGGGTGCCCGCCGACCCTGAGTTCTCTCCTCCGCACCCAAGGGCAAGCTCCCCTGGCACACGTCCTTTCCCAGAAGTTTTAACACCTGGGGACTGTCCTTCCAGGGAGGAGTGGAGCCAACTTCTGGGCTCAGGCAACCTCCCCCCACACGCCTGAGCAGAGCCAGCGGGAAGTTCTCCCCGCCCCCCCCAACCCACACCGGCCCTGAACTTCAAGGGACAGTCCCCTCAGAGTTGCTGTGTTCCCCATAACCTCTTCCTCCCCCCACAGCCCTGAGTCGTAGCTGGCACGGTCCCCGAGGCTGCAGGTGGCACGAGACGGGGTCCCCCCACGCCCCTCTGCAGCCCGCGGGAAGCCCCTGGGTGCCGCGCGCCCGGGGCCCGCGGCGATACTCACACAGCGAAGTGGTAGATGAAGCACTTCCAGCCGGTGGGGCGCTCGAGGAAGTTGTAGACGCGGCCCTGGATGTGGGTGCGCGCGAGGAGCGGGCGGCGTGCGCTGTAGATGGAGACGCGCGGGTCGAGGCTCACCGGCGGCCGCGCGGCAAGGTCGGCGGCGGTCGGGGGCGCGGCGGAGGGCGCGAGGGGCGCGGGCCCCGGGGCGCCGGGCGGCGCGATGGGTGCGTAGAGCGCGCCGCCCGCCGGGCCGCCCTCCGCCAGCTCCAGTGAGAAGGGACACTTCTTGGCCAGGCCCGTGCTGCCCCGCCGGGAGCCCGGCAGGCGGCCGCAGCCCCAGCGCTTCTTGTCGGGCCTGGGCGGGGAGGAGGCCGCGGCCATGGCCAGGCAGGGCCCGCGGGAGGCCGGCCAGGCGGCGGCACCGGGAGCTGCGGCGAGGGCGGGCGCCGGGGGCGCAGTGCGGGCGGCCGCTGCTGCCAGCCCGGCCGCGGGGGGCCGCTGCCCGCCCCGCCCGGGCGTGGGGGCGGGGCCGGAGGGGGTGGTAGCCGCGGGCAGGTCCCCGGGGATGGCGCGCCCCGCCCCTGGCCAGACGCCCCGCCAGGACCAACCGGCGCTCCCGGGTGCCCCAGCCCGCGCCTGAGACCGCTGACCTGCTCGCCTGCTGGGTCCCGCCCAGTCTGCGCCCACCTGTTCCTCCCGCCTTTTTGCATTCACTTGCCCCGCCCGCCCCCTCCCGCGCTCCTCCGCTCTGCCCCACGTGCGCCCACGTGCGCGCCCCGCCCCCCCACGCCCACCTGCTTGCCCAGTAAGCAGCCCCCAGCTGAAGCGGGGAGGAAGGCCAGGGGCCGCAGGTGCAGCGACTGAGAACCTCGTTGCCAGGGCAGGAGAGGTGGGTAGGGCACAGGCACCCACTTCAGAGAGAGGCTGGGGTTAATGGGGAAAGGGGGGCACCCTAGGGCACAGGCAGACTGACCCTCCTAACACTAGGAGGGCGGCCTTGTTAGCTCCTGCAGTACTTTGAGCACCTCCTTTCCTGTGCCCACCCATTCATGCTGTGGGTGGAGAAAAATGCTGTCGGGTCAGTGCCCACTAGGGGCCATCGCACCCAGGAGGTAAGCTTGGGCCATTGGGGGATGTGGTGCCTACTGGAGGCGGTGGTGCAGGGGTGTAGGCAGGGTTTGACCGCTGGAAAGTTCACGGCAAGGCATTTTCGAGATTCTAGTAATGTGCAGAATGGGTGTCTCCTCCTCCTCGAGCTCTGCCCTAGGCTTGCCTCTGCACTCCATGGATTTCCCTGGACGCTGGGGGTGGGGGGTTTAGAAGTGGGATGGGATCAGGTTTGTGAGGTCCTCCACACTGCCTCTGGCCATTGCTGGGCTGGCATTTGGTTCCCTGCACGTTGGGGTGCCGGAGTGGAGGATGGGGGGAGGGGGATGGACAAAACGGCTTCTTTCGGGACATTGCGCAGGGATGTCATGTGGGGGACAGGTAACTTACCAGACAACTCTCAGGTCTTCACTGAGAACCCCAGGCTGATTCATTTCATGCCCCCCCCCCAGCAGAAAACCAGCTCCTGTTGGTGGCTAGAGCAAAGTTCTGGCCCTTCACCCCAGACTCCCCACACAGCCAGCCATTTGTATTTGCAGAAAAATGAAGGAAGTGGGTCCCAGCCTGCTCCGGGCACTGCGGAGACTGCAGGGCCACTGAGGCTAGGGAACGTTTCTGGGGAGTACAACCCAGCAGCCAGCCAGAGGGAGGCGGAGAGTCTGCCTCCGCAGGGGGGACAAGCTGGGGCACACAGGGGGCATTCAGTCAATCTTTTCTGAATGAATGCACGTGTGAGTGAGCACTATCCACACAGCTACATCGCAATCCGAAGGAGGAAGACGATCTTTCAGTAGGTGGTGTTAGAACAATCGGAGAGCCATGGAGGAAGGGACAAAAAAAAAAGTTTGGATCCACCCCACACATGACACACAGGAGTAGGTTTCGGATGGATCAGAGGCTTAGAAATAAAAGTGGAGATGAGGTCACGTGGGTTCTGTAAGCCAGGCTCGGGGAATTCCACAACCACCTGTAGGCCGGCAAAACATGTCCCACTGTGCTTGAAATCGAGACAATAGCTGAAATTAGCAACGTCAAAAAGACCAATGAGCAGCTGGAAAGAGTATTTACGACGTACGTGGCAGGTCAAGGGTTAACAGCGCTGGCGCATTCAGGACAGCCAACATGGGACAGACCGTGGCAGACAGGCTGCGGAAAAGTGGGCCAAAGACGCGGAGAGTTCCCAGGAAAAGGGGGAGTCCGTGATCTTTGCACTTACGAGAAAATGAGCAACATCCCTGGTAACAAGAAAAATGCAAATTAAAAGTGCGGGCCGATACCACTGGTCCCCTATCTGATCAGCGGACGTCCACAGGTTCCGCGGGCGAGGCCCCGGGGGGTCCCGCATGCACATTGCCTGGGGGTGGGGGGCCTGGCGCTGTTAGCCAACGTGCCCGTTGACCCCTCAGATTAGCTCCACTTCCAGGAACAGCCCCAAAGCCCTGTGGGAACACAGAGAGTGAGGCATGCCATGCTAGTCACACCAGAAAACCCCGCAGACGAGATTGTCCCTCCAGTAGCTGAACCGAGGGCCGCACAGCCACACGGGGTCACCCGTTGTCAATATTTTCACCAGTGTTCGTAGGACGAAGGAACCCAAAGAACCGCATTGTTATAGTAACGTTAGTATTCTTACTTTGGGATTATGGATGTGACGTTAGACTCCTTGGGAGCCAAGAGTTTGAGTATAAGAGAGAGAGAAGGAGGAAATCAGGGAAGTATGAATCTGTCCTTAAATTCGAATCGGGAATATTGGCATCAACTGCTGTGCTCTCTTATCTGCAAACCAAATTACTCTCTAGCCCCGTCCACTGAAAAGTTTCAGGAGGGGCCCGTCCACAGCAGGACAATCTGAGCGTGAAACAGAATCATGGAGTAAAAGACATCCGATAACTTACAGAACCATTTGTTCATTAACGAAGCTACAAGAAATCCTCGTTGACCCTTTGCTGGTTGCTTGGGCTCATTCTTCTGGAACCGAGTGCAGAAGGGACAGTTGTGTGGCTCCTGTCCGCCCCTTTGGCACTGACCTTCGGGGGGAAGAAGCCACAGGTGCTGGAGCCACACACCGGGCTACTTCCTCCTGCAGTCCTGAGTCCTGTGATGTCGGGAATGGCTTTGAAGCTGTCGGCAGGCAGGGCGGGGTGCAGAGTCAGGGCAGAGATTAGACCAAAGGGCTTCTGAATTGGCCATTGTTGGGTGGCCGCTGAATAAGGTCACGACACGACCAACTCTACTTTTGTGTCTGTTTCCATATATTTTTAATTATGACAGGTTGCTACCCACGCACCTGGGGAGGCTTCTTGGAGGGCCACGTGCCGGGCTGGGGCCACGGCGGGGAGAAAATGAGGGGCTCTCGGGGTGCCCTGAGCCATGCAGGAAGCTGCCCTGGAGATCCTTGGGGGGGGACTCTGGGGAGCATGGGAGGCTGGCCGGGGGGCTGCTGAGAACTCCCTGCCATCTCTGAGGACCTGGGGGCAGCCCCAGGAGAGGACTGACGCCCTGGGCTGACAGGTGGGAGCTGGGGTAGGGGTGAGGCCAGGCGTGCAGGCATGGTGAGTGGGGTTGGGACTCACTGGGCTCAGGGAAGGAAGGGCCCAGGGTCAGGGTCAGGGCAGGAAGTACAAGTGTGACCCAGCCCACTGGCCCTCCAGCAACCCTTCAGAATACCGCTCCTGCCCACAGCCCCCTCCCCAGGCTGAACGCTGCCCTCAGCTTCCCTCGGTGGCCCTCCGCTCCCTGCACCCACCCCACATTCCTTCTGTGGGGCCAGAGGGTGGTCAAAAACACTTGGGTAAACTGAGGCTGCTGATGGGTGGGATGTGTGGCTGCTGGGAGGTCTGTGGGCTGGGGGTGCACCACCAGAGGCTTCCCGGCTGGCGACTTCTGATTCAGCCCCCAGTCCTCACTGAGCCCCGGCGGCATGCCAGGCACACTGTTCATGCAGGGGCTGTGCCCTCCTGGGGGTTGGCGTGGGCAGGGGGAGGGGATGCAGAGGGAGCAGCGGGGGGGGGGCAGGCTGCTGAGGGCAACCCTCTGGCTGGTGAGTGTCCCGTGGAGGGGGGCGGGCATGACCGCGCCCTGGGGAAGGTGGCTTTGCCCAGCCCCACACTTAGCCCTTTCTCCAGCCTGGCCCACGGGCAGCTCTGGTTGCACCTATGTCCTAGACACTTGCCCTCCACGGAGCCTCCTGCTGCGCTGTTCGGCAGGGACAGCAGTCCCGAGACAGCTGCTGGGCACAGAGTGGCCTGGGCTCTGGGAGCACACGAGCTCCCTGTGCAGACACAGATGCAGCAGGGCTAGGGAGGGCCCAAGAATCTGCGTTTCAGTGAGTTCCCTTCCTCCCACACAGGGGACACTGAGCATCCCCAAACCTGGGCACCGCACTAGGACAGAGGCCAAAGGGGAGTCCTTCTGCGCTGAGCTGACCACGTGTCTCCCACTCATGGGCTGTGTGAATGTCACTCCACAGAGCCGGCCAGCTCCGACCATGTGCCCGGCTCAGTGTGCAAGAGGCCTCCCCTCGGTGGGTCTCACAGCCAAGCAGGACAGACCAAGCTGGACATGCCATCACTGCATGAGCATCAGGGAGGTGGGAGCTGGACGGCCCCCTGCCCTGTCCCCTCCATTCGCTGCCTGAGCTCACTGCCCCCCTCCCTTCCAAGGCACTAGGCTGGGAGCTGTGTGTGTGTGTGTGTGTGTGCACGCACATTGCGGTGCACGTGGGTATGCATGTGTCATGCCTGTGTGCAGGTACTCTGTACCCCCATAAGCCCTTTTGTGACCACAATGGGACTGGAGGTGCCCAGTCCACACCCCTAAGCAGGACAGCCTTGGAGCAGTAGGTCTGGTGGGGTAGGAAGCAAGAAGCGCTCAGAAGAGAGGCCATCGTGGTCAGAGTTGGGGGCAGGAACCACCTGCTGCGGGGCCATGCCTACACCCCAGCTGGCTGGCACCACCTGCAGAATCACACGCCCACACTCACCCCTCCAAGCGCAGGACACTGAGTCCCGCCTGGCATCCCGTGGGCAAGTGGGGAGCTCCCCCCATGTTTTCTTTGGTCTGAGGTTAGGTCATCTGCCATCACCGCCTTCCCCAGCTCCTCTCCTGCTCCCCGCTTGGGGGAGTCCCCAGATGCCTATCTGGGCACAGCCCAGCCCACAGGCAGCCTTCCACACACTCACCGGGGCCCCTGGCCTTCGCTTTGTGCTGGGGGGTTTGGTTTCGGAAGGGTGTCGTGGCCGGGCACAAGAACCCCTGGGTCCCCTCCAGTCCCCCCACCAGCCTTTGAGCCCCCCTCCCCTTCTGAGTGGATGTCCTGGGACCCAGCCCTGAGAATCCAAAGTCCCAGTAAGAAGGGCCCAAGGCAGGGGCAACCA